CGCAATAAACGAGGTTTCGTTAGGCAGAGAGAGAACTCTCCCTCGTAGTCGGCGGGAGAACATTGTGCTACAGCTCTTCCTCCTTGTGGCGATTTTGCGGAATTAGTTACAAATTACCAAGCAAATTACAATGACGGTTTCCGCCTGTCTCTGGCAATCTCTAGTTACGGCAGCGAGAAGTCGAAATGGCAGCTCGATTTCTCGCTTACGTACTTTCTAATTGTCCCGCACGAACGCGCAGCATCCGTCTAAAAAAAAAAACAAAACAAAACAAAACAAAACAAAGCAAGAGAAAATTCAGCCGTGCATTTTCCTGCAGATTTTTATCGCGTTGGGATTTTATTGAGAGAGACCTGTGATTAATTTTCACGCACGAAAATTAATATAAAACTTATTAATAATTTATAACGAAGAACACGTGGGTAACAATGTGTCGATATTGAAAGTCAAATTTTAATATATTATATTGTATGTAAGAACATATACATATATATGCTTATAATAATTTTATTAATTTGGCTTTATTGATATTATCAATATAATATGAATTCATTAAAATGATCACACAAAATCACGCGCAATAATAATCACGTGCCTTTAATGCGAGAATGTTCGTTGCCCGATTTTATCATTTATTCGCACAATATCTTTTATGCGGAAATATCGGTCGGTCATACCGCGCGTGTATATATACGCGCATACGCGTCCTTTCATACTTAATCGACAAATAGTTGAGTAAAATTCGCGACAAAAGGAATGCGATATAATATATTTCACCGAGCACTGTGAACGCAAAATATTTCACGAAACGCTTTGTGTGTCCGTGTGCTTGCAAATAATATAAATAAATGATCGCGAACGATAAATCCGAAATGTGTGAAATTAGAGAGCGCGTGAAATACCGTAATCACCACCGCGCTCAAATCAATCCCCTTATCAGCTTTCTTATATAGCGGCTTCGTATAATCCATCAGCGCGACATCAGAGAAGAGCTAACCGACAAAAAGCCCGGAGAGTGATCGACGATAATGCACTTTCATCGCTTTCTTATCAAGAAAATATAGGAGGAGGGAAAAAAAAAGATAGATGAATTATATCTCGCGCGGCGTGTTCTCTCAGAGCGCTTTTAATGCATTGTTAATTGCGCGTTCGAAATTGTCGTTGCGATTATATTCCGGCGGGTCGAGTGTCACCTGGGAAATCCGTTGGCAAAGCCGTTTTTCACGGTAAAAGCCAATTTTTCGACCTATCCCGCAAGTTGATCAATTCGTCATGTAGTTGCGCGCGCGCGCGCGTAACGTTCGCCGCGTTTAATATATTTTTAAGGTAATCGGGGCTTGTCAAAGCGACGATTTTTGTCCATTTTTTCCCGGCGAAATATTTTCAAAGGTTGCGCGGAAAAAAAGGAGAGGAAAAATTCACGCGCGCGCAACACGCGAAACGAGCGAAACCGCACACACCGGAGATCGGGGTGAGAGGGGAGGTAAAGTTTCGTCACCAAAAATGCGAATTAATGTAACGCTCCGGCTCGACGATCCGAGGTTTTTTTTTTTTTACGGTATATATATTTTGAGGAACAACGTTACCTTTCGAATTCGAACCGGCGCGGCGGTGCGTCGCAGCGCGAGCTATTTTTGCTTTTGAGCGTGTGTCCCCGGAAAAATGTCACACAGAGAGAGAGCTTGCTCTTCGTTTTCGCAGAAATATTCCTCCCGGCGGGGTAATTTGGCCGTTAGGAAATTTTTTGCGGTCGATCCGCGTGCGGACGATAAAATATAAATTCGACTGGGTAAACGTGTCTCGATGAAGAATTCTCCGCTCGCGCTCGACGGTGCTTTTATGCGCGCGAGAGCGATGTCTGATAATGTTATTCACATAAGCCGCAGAGGAGGGATTATAATGTTAAATTAATGCGAACAATGCACAGCACACGCTCGCATTAAATTTATAGTCGTCCGCGTTACACTAGGTATATTCCCGATAATTGTACGTGCTTTTATACCACTATTACGAATATTCCAATATTTAGATTTTCAAGAGTAATCGGATTTTGAAATTCTCGAAAATCCGATCGCAATTTGATGCGCGCTCGATATAGGGGCGAGTTCGATTGCAAAAAATAATGTACTTAATTAGCATAGATTAAGAGATTCGACGTCTTAATTGCGTAAAAAAAGAGATCGATTCGGGGGCGCTAATTTATAAATTTATTCGCGCCCCCCGCGCGCGTATGTGCGTACGTACGTACGTAAATGGATATCCGGCGAAATGAGATGTTAAGACGCGATTATACGCGCGATATGATATACAGAGGTAATTTTCGAATTCGCGCGCAGACACTTGGGTGAAACTTTCGCCGAAACTTCGTATCCCGCGAGAAAGAGTCGTCACGATAAATCTCTCGCAAGATATACGGAATAACTTCTTATTGCCGGAACTCACGAGCGCGGACCCGTAAATCTTGCCCCTTCCTCTCTCTCTCTTCGTTGCTAATTCTGACTGCGTGTCACATTTCAAATCCCGCGAGCCGATTTCCAAAAAAAAAGAAAAACAGCAAAACTCGGAAAGTATTTCTCGCCTTTCTTTCTTTTATGATCCGCGATTATTCCGCTGAAAAAGTCGGACTTTTTGAAAACTTACGTTGATAAAAAAAACTTCAGTCATCAAAAGTAATCTGAAAAGACCGCAGCTGCGATTTAATTATGTCGAGTTCGTTCCGGGCGAATATCTCGCGACCCAATAAGAACGTGGAAATCGTTACCGAGTTAAGATTTTCCTCAGCCGCGTGGACTAGTTCAAAGAAGTGCGAGAAAATGCGCACAAACGCGTATGTACGTACGGAAGTTTGTGCGTGTTATAAAAGAGAGGCAGATTCTGATCGCATGTGCTTTTCCGTCCCGCTTGCCTCTGACAAAAAAAAAACCGTAATGGAGTTTCGACGTTCGTCGGCGTTGTTTCGCTATTTTATAAACCATCGAGAACGCGAATCGTCTCTGCTTGATTTTATACGGAGCGCCGAAGGGCGAAAATACAAGTTACAGCAAACAAGATGCGCTGTTTACAATCCTGGAAAACGCGCCATTCTGTCCTCTCTCTCTCTGTCTCTGTGTATGTGTGTGTGTGTCTCTCTCTTTCTCACTCCTTTTCTCTTTCTCTCTTTGTAATCGTCTCTGCAGGCTCTTTGAGACTCTTTGGAACTACGGTGAAATCACAAATGCCTCGCTCGATTCCCACCCCTCTTGCTATGCTCTCGTCGTCGTCGCCGTCGTCGTCGTCGTCGTCGTCGTAGCTAATCATTCGCACGACTAATTAGTTCCTATGCGTTCGTTTCTAAGCGGATTTAATTGGCGTTTGTTGTAATCGGATTTGCGAATGTTATCATTACGAGTTTATTTTTTTATTTTTTTCATATTAAAATACACATAATAAAAAAGATGGAATAACCTCGCGGTGAATATTGGCGAAGTTTGGTCGATTTTGAATAATTTTGTGTTTAACAATTATAACGTGTTATTTGCGCTCGTTACGTAACTGTTGTATAACTTGCGACTGAAGATTATAGTTAGATGTTTTTTTTTGCTTGTTTGTAATTGAATTTTTTTTTTTAAGTGCTTTGATCCTTTCGCGAATTCGTCGTGAAGTATTTCAATCGGATCGGGTTTGGGGTTGCGTGAATTCTTGCGACACGCAATCGGTTTTCCGCTCTACCTCTTTCTCTCGTTTCTCAAATTCAAACGATGCAGCCGTGCTTGATAAATCGATTTTCATAGATATAGACTTGTTTACCCATGACAAACCGAATTTTCGAGTTTTTCGTATCGCTCCGGGAATTCAATTCGATTTGTCGAAAATGTTGAAAGGCAAATCGAAGCTTTAAAGAGATTACCGGTCACCGATACATATACATGTATGTGTGTATATATATATATATATATATATATATGTGTATATATGTATATATGTATATACAGGGTGTCCCAGAATGGCCGTACAATCTCTCGTAGGCAGGTAGAAGGAGTAAAACTGAGTCAAAAAGTCTTATACCATTTTGCTAGATTTGCAATAGTTACTGAGATTTTAATTAACAAAGATCCGCGAATAAGCGTGCATCG